GAAATGAAAAGAATAAATAAATAAAACTAAATTTAAAAGGAAACCGAACTAAATGAAATTTTGAAAACAAGATTGTGGTAGAAACTTAACCACGTACATATGTATAAATAATCTGTAAGTATCTCTCACACTCCCGACAAATACATGTATCAAATACGTGTGTGTGGGTGAGCTGGTTTTTATATGTAATTTCAAGGCGAGATAAAAAAATTAAATATAAGTTTTATATACTGGTATACACACTATATACATTAATATGCGATTATGATACCAACTGACATCGTAAGTACAAATAAAATTTTTCAAAGACTAGAATTTCTGAACAAGACCTTTGTTGTAATATAGTGCCAATGGTTATAAGTAAGTAAAATTGTTAATTGCTAGTACCTGGCTATATTTTGATATCCTCATAAAAAAGGCAAAAGTCTTCTGACAGCCAGAATATACAAAAACTTTGATCAGGCAAATGTTTTGACATAGTCCCCATATCCATTGATCAAAACCGCTTAAAAAATATTGTTTATTTTTTGAAAATACGTTTCATAAATTTAGGGATCCAGATTTGTGTTCCGCGAATCAATGGCTTTAAAGTTTTTGGCTAATGACATCTATTTGTTGAAATTTCAGCCATAGAAAACTAGTAGGTATACAATAAAATATTGTTTTCAACTGAAATGATTTTAATTTTAGATTTACACAAAAAAGTTTCATATCTATTTTCCAGATATGAAAAGCGATGTAAGTTTTAGTACTTTATTGAAAAAATGAAATGTGTTTTTGCAGTAAATTGCTTTAAAAGCTCCTCTACATTACGTTGGCTAATAATATAATGTTTACTGATGTACATATGTCTGTTGTATTGTACAATTACCAGGGAGTTTTAATACGTAGTTGTTGTTAAAATATCAATTCCGTAAAATTAGCCATTTTATCTATCGGCTCCACTTACTGCTATCTAATTACAGTATCCCCTTCTGATTTCGAGGAATAAATTAGCATTGATTTTTATACTAATTTGAATTTTGTTTGAATTAATCATTAACCAAATATCAGCCTTAATTGAAACAAACAATTACAACAACATCTAGAACACAGAAGCCATTAACATTATGTAAAATATTTGCAATCAATATGAAAATTGAGATAGAATTAATAAACACGCACACACTCACAGAGACACATCTAACTGAACAACGGAGGAATTAATTTAATTACGAAATTGTCATATTTACCAACATTAGTGGTTAACAAAACAGGCAAGTTTTGTATAAAAATTACACATACAAAAACAAAAAAAAAAAAAAAACAAATACAAGCTCTATTTATGTAATTGTAATAATTAAAAGTAACAATAACAAATGTATTTAGTAAAAATTGAAAAAAAAATCAGTTAAAATAAAATACAAACAAGCCAAATGTATTATTGTTTATAATTAATTAGGTGACTATGTCAGAACTAGGGTTTTTTATTTGTAAACCATAGTTCGTAAAATTTAATAGAGTTTCCTAACCTATAGACCTATATATATATATATATATAGGTCTCCGTTATGGAGTAGGTCCATCCCGTTTAGAGGTATGGGCGATTTTTATTATTTTGAAGGTTTGTGAAATTGCAATGTTTAGTTTGTCGAAGCTTCTTGACAAATTTCGTTACTTACTTGGTAGTAATATTACATTTAAATATTTTATTGGATAAATTAACCGTACATAACTAGCTTCGATACATAGGTATCGAATATCAAAATAAATAACTGTCGCAAAGTTTGAAATCTCTAGCTAATAAACATATTTAGATGCACGGTTTGTATTTTTACAGATGTTTTTGTAATAATTCCATTCCATTTCGTATATAAAACTTGTCAAATTTTAAAGAAATAAATGAAAAAAGTATAAAAAGAACCTTCGGGGTAAATTCGGCATTTTGAAGTGGAGCACATTCGGCCATATATAGGTAGTGCTATATTATTTCTATAAAAGGTTTTTGAGTTTGTCTTTAAAAATCATCCTTTAATATATTTCGAAATTACATATATAAGACCAAACGAGCTTTCATTGACGAAAATGGCAAAGGAAAAAGCTATTTCTTATGACGTGTGTGGCCTTGAAATGTGAGCGTTCGCCGCTAGAAAATATAACCTTAAAAGTCAAACTTTTGAATAAGTACTGAGATATAGAGATCTAAACAAAAAGTGCCGAAGGTGCCCAGTCTCTCCTACATATTAGTGATCTGGAATCTCTGCGTAATTTATTTTACCTTTTGTAAAGAATCATAAAAATTGTAAAATCGAATATGATTTATTACATTCCTCCTATCGCATACCTTTTTTCTCTCCTGAAAATTTCATAAATTTCTATATGTAATTCTATCTTCAATATTTTATATTTTAATATTATGCCCGTTATCCATGTTACACATATCAATCACACAGTAACAACAGAAAGTTTATGTGAAAAGCAAGTACAACTTCAACGCTTCTAAAAACCCAGATAAATATAGTCATATCCATAAAATCAATCTTAATTCACAGCGTATAAAGATGCCAAGAACAATTTTGAAAATCAAATCACAAGCAGTGTCGATGTACCATATGTTCGGTTTCAGAGGATACCGTCCGTACAAGCCTAATCAAATTAGATTTTATTTGATGTAATAACAAAATTTATTGGAAACAAATTGAGGAAGTTGGAAAATTTATTACCAAAAGTGGCCATAAAGCGAATAAACCCAACGCCTAACGCCCGACAGCAATCCAACCGTGCCAATGTTCCCACGAACCTGTTCAATACCTAGTACAGCTCACGCACACGTACACACATTCACATATGACACACACACACACACCCAAACACATGTGCAAATGGTTCCACAGAGTGTCTGCCCAAAAGGCGTACAAAAGTTATGTGATAAAAACATCATCGACAACCAGCGGAAGGAGACGCTTGCTGGGGTTGGGAGCCAGCACATAATAAACGACTGCCACCGTAAGACAGGTGGACATATTTATTGTCTGGGAATGTATCAATGTTATTCTTTGCCATATAGAGATGACTGGAGAATGTGCCAAGGAGAGAAGCACGTTATATAGGCAACGGTAAGAAAGAAGAAATCACCATTAGGACGATGAGGCAAAATACTATCATTTTTTAAATAGTCCCTAGTGTGCACGCACACACACACCTGAATCAACACGCATTGCTTCACATTCACATACCAGAGAAGTCAGATAGCACATGCTGGGGACTACAAAAAACACCAAGTCTGATGGTGGACCAAACACACACATACCCAAATGCAAACACTGGACAGTGGGTGAAACTGGGAAGAACAAACAGAAAGGTAAAAAATCGAAAGAACAATGCAAACACAACAAAGACAAGCTAATGGAAAAACTTACAAATCAATTTTCACCGGAAGTTGGCCACCATTACACAAGCAAACAAATAAAAAGCTAATGGAAAACAATGATGTGTTCATCATACGCCCCATCTAGTATTGGGAATGAAAAGTCGTCGCATGTTTCAGGTGCCATAAGTAAAAAAAATGAAACGAAAACGGAATGGTGGTAAATTGCGGACGAATGACCAATTGATTTTAAATCTTAAATTGTGCGAAAGAAATGGATTTAATTAATATTTTTCCACTGTTGTACATTGGGTACAAGTACAAGCTATTAAAATTTAATTTTGCGTTATACGTTTTATTAAGATTATTAGTAGATTATAGTAGTGATGATGGTATGTGAGGTAGAGTTTTTTTTTATAGTGAATATATAACTTCCAACTAGGGTTTGGGAATTCCCGACATTTTCCATTCCGGGAAATCGGAAATTCCCTTTGTAAGTAAACTTATTAAAGTGTAGGATTGATATTATATAAATTAAATAATAAGAAATATAAAAAATGACGTTCTAGTCATTGTACAATAACACTTAAAAAGAAATAATTAAGAATTCATTTTCAAATAAAAGTATTTTTGTATGCTTTTTGATAAAACATTGTATTAAGGGGACCCCCCCCCCCCCCATTCACGGGTTCAAAAAAATTTTTGAATCTACACAAATTCAAGAATGTCCCTATAAAATTTCGAGTGAAAATCTCAAGAACTCTTCAAGATGTAGCCGATTTATTGTGTCAGCATCAAGTGACGGCTAATGGGCTTCTCAAACTTTAAACGCGTTTTTCTTTTTTGTGAATGGCGGGCACGATTACTCAAAAACTAATAACCCAATTGATTCCAAATTTTTATACGTTTCTCTGTGATTGTATAGCTATTGTATGAACTAGGATAAAGCTAATCGGTGAAGATCTTCCTTACTTTTTAACTTGGTTTTTGGTCAAAAATCGGCGATTTTCCAAAAATATTTTTTCAAAGGTCCACCATTTTGTTAATTTTAGAGCGAAGTCAGTAATCCTAGTTCATAAGAGAGCCAGACATGTACTCTTTCTAACACCGTTGGAATTTTCGGATTCCGATGTTCCAGTGAGGAGTTATCATGCCCGCCATCAAAAATACGGACTTCTCTTTAATTACAAAAAACAACAACAAAATAATTACAAATGTTAATGTTAATGTCAAAATGTCTAGCAATTGAAAATATTCTCCCACATTTTACGGACTTTTACTCACTTTATATAAATCTTATTTCTTTTAAAAATAACTACTTTGACAAGGTTTTGATCTTATAGGGGTTGACTTTGCAACCATTTTAATTTAATTTCAAAACCAATTTTTGTTATTTGAATTTTTGTGATCATTTTGAAAGTGATTTTAAGTGATTATTTATACTCTTTCGAGTCGAGCTTGATGATCAAAACCTGTATACATTTGGAGTATCTTCATCACTACTAGATTCCACTTCATTGAAAGCCTTTTTTGTTTTATTGCCATTTTATCATCTTTATTTTACAATTAAAAAATCTTTTGACTTGGTCTTCAATTAAAATGTAAAATAAAATAATCTCCCGTGGCGCAGCGTTTTAAAAATTCTCAAACGAATTTAGTACAAACGTTGTGGGGGACCCATGGATGACTTGATGTTCAAAGAACGAACGTTTGGCCAGTTCTTCTTCAACAAAGAAACCAAGAAATTGATGGACAAATGGGTGTTTTGGACCATCTCATCGGGTTCCATGTTGCCATGACCAACGGCAACAGACAAGCACAAGACTTTCTTCATTTGGAACTTAATGGTCGATTTGACTTCTTCGATCTTGGTCGTCATGTATTGTTGATGAGACAAGAGACCAGGGAACTTGTCAGCCTTGTTCGAACCGGGACCCAACAAACATTTTCTGTATACACCTTTGCGTCTTTTTTGGCACATCCGTATTCCCCAAACTATCTGGCCTCTTAAAAAACTTTAGTTTAGATGTCGGTCACTTAACTCTTTTTGTAATATCTGTGGAATTGAATGGTCGATGAAAGTTTGTTGACCTTACAATGTTTTCAAGACAGCATCAACAATAAGTTATATGTATGGCATGATTCCAGCAAAATAACCCTTCAATAGGACATTCAGAATAAATTTTCCATGACATTCGCCTTATCTGGAACAGTTGCTACAACGTGGGTTTCAAAACACAATTCCAGCAGTTTTTCTTCTCCGAATTTCCAATCTGTCTATTATATAAATTGGTTTTAAAATGAGCATCTTCCACTTATACACACATTAAAATCTCCCCTTGTAGTTGTTGTATTATCGATAACAAATAATACGACGGATGGATCAACGGATACATTCTGTTTATGCCATAAGCATTGAAATTATTATTTCCGTATTAGTATTTATTTAGAGATACAATTTCTCGTTTTCCCGGCAAATACTATCGGGAAATCCCGGGAATATCGATGTCAAAAAAATTGGGAAATCCCGGGAATACCCAGGACTAGAGATGGGCAGTGGGTAAATATCCAAAGGGTAAATACCCGGTAAATTAAGTAAATACCCATTTGTGGGTATTTATTTGGGTATTTACTATATTGTATCGGTAAAACAACATCTTACACCCTATTTCAAATCGATTTAGAATGAATAGTTTTACGATACTTCGGGTATTTACCCAAGTTTTTACCCAAAAATTGGGTATAAACTCATTAACTGCCGAACCACTTGACATAAGCGGCCAAAATTTTGCACACATGTTTCTAATGTCAAAGCAAATATAGAAATCCAACATGATATAGCCCCCATATATCCGTATCTCCCGCTTTAAGGTATTTTTTGTCTATTAGACACATTTTACAACTAAATTGTCAGTAATTTGGCACAGAGTGTTCTTTTTGGGTACCAAATGTCCATGCAAAATGTTATGTATGTAGGTTCACGTTTACTGGTAGCCCCCATACAAAGGTACCCCTAATTCGAGTATTTACCCAAAATTGGGTATAAACTCATTAACTACTTGACATAGGCGGCCAAAATTTTGCATACATGTTTTTAATGTCAAAGCAAATATAGAAATCCAACATTGATATAGCCCCCATATAACCGTATCTCCCGATTTAAGGTAATTTTTATCTATTAGCCAATTTGATTGGCTGGAATTTGGCTCAGAGAGTTCTCTATGAGTACCACTTGTCTACGCTAGTCCAAGTTTTCTGTCCTATATAACGGTCCTGATTTTGGATATTTATATATATTTATAAACTTCTCAAACTTTAAACGCGTTATTCTCTTTTGCGAATGGCGGGCACGAGAACTCAATAACTAATAACCCAATTGATTCCAAATTTGTATACGTTTCTCTGTGATTGTATAGCTATCGTATGAACTAGGATAAAGCTAATCGGTGAAGATCTTCCTTACTTTGTAACTTGGTTTTTGGTAAAAAATCGGCGATTTTCCAAAAATATTTTTTCAAAGGTCCACCATTTTGTTAATTTTAGAGCGAAGTCAGTTATCCTAGTTCATAAGAGAGCCAGACATGTACTCTTTCTAACACTGTTGGAATTTTCGGATTCCGATGTTCCAGTGAAGAGGTAATAATGCCCGAAAAATGCCTTGAAAAATTAAAATCGAGAATGGGTGGGGTTCCCTTAAGAACTATTTGTACACATTAACAAACATATGAAGAATTTTTAATTTGTGTATATCAAGAGGTTGCTTGATATACTGTTTCTGATGTTAATGTCAAAATGTCTAGCAATTGAAAATATTCTCCCACATTTTACGGACTTTTACTCATTTTATATAAAACTTATTTCTTGTAAAAACTACTGTGACAAGGTTTTGATCTTATAGGGGTTGACTTTGCAACCATTTTAATTTAATTTCAAAACATGTATACATTTGGAGTATCTTCATCACTACTAGATTCCACTTCATTGAAAACCTTTTTTGTTTTATTGTCATTTTATCATCTTTATTTTACAATTAAAAAATATTTTGACTTGATCTTCAATTAAAATGTAAAATAAAATAATCTTGGGTAAATACTCAATATAGGGGTATCATTGTATGGGGGCTACCAGTAAACGTGGACCTACATACATAACATTTTGCATGGACATTTGGTACCCAAAAAGAACACTCTGTGCCAAATTACAGCCAATTTGGTTGTAAAATGTGTCTAATAGATAACAAATACCTTAAATCGGGAGATACGGTTATATGGGGGCTATATCAAAACTTGGACCCAGGGACCCCATGTAGGATTTCTGTATTTGCTTTGACATTAGAAACATGTTTGCAAAATTTTGGCCGCCTATGTCAAGTGGTTCGGTAGTTAATGAATTTATACCCAATTTTTGGGTAAAAACTCGGGTATTTACCCAAGTATTTACCCACGTCTTTAAAGTATCCATTCTAAACCGATTTTATAACAGAAACCCGGAAATAGGGTGTATGATGTCGTATTACCGATTCAATATAGTAAATACCCAAATAAATACCCGCAAATGGGTATTTACCCGGTATTTACCCACCCCTTGGGTATACTGGATATAAAATGTCAAATCCATTGCCTATATGTAAAATAAATCCTCATACAATTTATATTGTACTTGCCGTTTTACAGGCCCATACACATGTTTCTGCTATCAATGCTTAAAAATTAAGATCTCGTAATTAATTAATCTTGGTCTGAAAGAATTAAGTAATGTCTAATAATCCAGTTCTATACTAACAATTTTCAGCATGGAGTCATTAAATAGGAGAAATGGAAAATATGGCAAATTCGAACAAAACCTACGATAAGAATATAAATTCGTCAAATAACTTCAACCATTGTGGTAGAGACCACATAGTATATACTATAAAAACGTGGTAGAGACCACATACCGGAAACTTCATAAAGTATATGTATAGGTTTGAAATAGTCAGCATACCATATTCGCCTAGCTCGGATTATAGGATAAAAATTTCTCTCTTTCTACGCTCTCTGATAGAAGTCGCATTGTAAAAGTTTGGATGCAGAGGAGACTTTCCAGTGCTTCAGAGAACCAAGTTGATGTTGATCTCGACTTTAGTTGCGAAACTTCGCTCACCGCCACTATCCTTGATTAACGTTCAATACGAACGAATAGAAGAAAAAACCAGTAAGGAAAGTAGTAAAGTCGGACGGGGCCGACTATATGATACCCTTCACCACTATGGGTATATTAAACAGGACTATAACATAAAATTGGATGAAAACCAGTAAGATCTATCCATAAAGTAGTCAATCGACTTCAAACAAATATAAATAGGTCATCCGTTGGGCTATGTCTGCACTTCCGGAAACTTCATAACGGGGTATTCTACTATATGCAAAATACCCTTCACCACTATGGGTATATTAAACAGGACTATTAACATGAAATATATATGGGAGCTATATAGACCGATTTTCTCGAAACTTGGCAGACATCACTCTAGGCTCAATTCAGTACGTTATGCCAAATTTCGTGCAAATCGAAGGATATATAGGGACTTTGGTGCACCATTTATATGAAACCGGACGAAACTATATATGATTTTCACGAAACTTAGCAAATTGCCAAATTTCGTGCAAATCGAAAGATATATAAGTACTTTGTGGCACCATTTACATGAAATCAGACGAAACTATATATGGGAGCTATATCTAAATCTGAACCGATTTTCTCAAAACTTGGCAGACATCACTCTAGGCTTAATTCAGTACGAAATGCCAAATTTCGTGCAAATCGAAAGATATATAGGGACTTTGGGGCACCATTTACATGAAATCGGACGAAACTATATATGGGAGCTATATCTAAATCTGAACCGATTTTCTCAAAACTTGGCAGACATCACTCTAGGCTTAATTCAGTACGATATGCCAAATTTCGTGCAAATCGAAAGATATATAGGGACTTTGGGACACCATTTACCAGAAATCGGACGAAACTATATATGAGAGCTATATCTAAATCTGAACCGATTTTCTCAAAACTTGGCAGACATCACTCTAGGCTCAATTCAGTACGTTATGCCAAATTTCGTGCAAATCGAGAGATATATAGGAACTTTGGGGCACCATTTACATGAAATCGTACAACATCAGACAGACAGAGAGACATCACTCTAGGCTATGCCAAATTTCGTGCAAATCGAAAGATATATAGGGACTTTGGAGCACCATTTACATGAAATCGGACGAAACTATATATGGGAGCTATATCTAAATCAGGACCGATTTTCACGAAACTTGGCAGACATCACTCTAGGCTTAATTCAGTACCATATGCCAAATTTCGTGCAAATCGAAAGATATATAGGGACTTTGGGACACCATTTACATGAAATCGGAGGAAACTATATATGGCAGGCAGCAACGTACACAGGATTTCATTTCGGGGAAGGCCCGGTAGTACAAAATGAAAAAATTCGCGGTTGCAAACATAAATTTACTGTGAAAAAAATTCATTTCAGGGGGTGGGAGCCCTGGGGGGCCCGGGCCCCCAGGGCTCCCCCCCCCCCCTGCGTACGTCCCTGATGGCAGGTATATATAAATCTGAACCGATTTTCTCAAAACTCGGCAGACATCACTCTAGGAACAATTCAATACGTTATGCCAAATTTCGTGCAAATCGAAAGATATATAGGGACTTTGGGGCACCATTTACATGAAATCGGACGAAACTATATATGGGAGGTATATCTAAATCTGAACCGATTTTCTTAAAACTTGGCAGACATCACTCTAGACTCAATTCAGTACGTTATGCCAAATTTCGTGCAAATCGAAAGATATATAGGGACTTTGGTGCACCATTTACATGAAATCGGACGCGCAAAACGAAAGATATATAGGGACCGTTTACATTAAACCGGTTAAATATACATATGGGAGCTATATCTAAATCTGAACCGCTTTTTCC